TATTATTGCATACCTTTCCATTTTTAATTTCAGTTGCTGATGGAAATGCATCAAGCCTCAACTATATAATTTAAAACAAACCAGATTAAATATAGCTTCATGAATAAAAAAAATAATAGTTATTATTATATAACAAACCAGTTCTGAACTATAAGAAGCTAAAGGATCTTTGGATATTGTTGCAACTGCCAGAATTTTATCATCCCCTATTTAAAGAAATAGTAGTTATATAAGTAATATTTGAAAAAAAAAAAATGCAACTTCGATACTTACGCGCATAATATGCTGCAAACTTAAATTCTTCCAAGTTTCCTTTAATAATAACATCATCAAAACTAGTGGCATAACCAGCATAACGTATTCCCTTGCCAAGTTGATTACTCCAAAAGTATGGGATTTTTTTAAATGAAGGTGCCGATTTTTTAGCAATGATTTCAGCAACTGCACGACCAGTGTTTTCGGCAAACGACTAAAAAATGAAGAGATATTAATTGCTTTCCTTTAAAGATGGTTATTTTGCTTTTATTTGATTTCTTTATAAAGTTATTCAACAATACCCAATGTTCAATGCGGATTGTCTCCCCGGTCTTATGAAATGTGAATCTTGCGATATCACCTTTATAATCAGATTAGGTAAACAGAAAGGTTGATATTTGATAAATTTTATTTAAAATATATAAACCGTACTCTTACCAGTTGCAAAAACATCATCAAGCCCTTCAACTTTGAAATTCTCGTCGACTTTAAGACTACCATCTTTTTCTAATGTAAACCCTGGCGAGTCTTTCAAGAATCCCTGCAACAAGAATTGAAAGAAATTAAAGCATAAAATAAAGAACAGCTGAATAAAACATATCGTATTCTTACAGTTGCTGGAGCTACACCTGCTCCAATTACTATCACGTCAGCGGGAATCTTTCTGCCATCTGCTAATATTACTGCACCGCCTTTCCCAGGATCAGTGTCTGAAAACAATGTAACAAATTTAGATACGATCAAAACGAGACGTATTAATGTTAAATATTCTAACCCAAGGGTTCAATTTCCTTCACACCAGATTGCAGATAAAAGCTGACACCGCTTGCTTCATGCAACTTTTGAATTGCACCTCCAACCTCAAGGCCAAGTACTCTTTCAAAAGGGACCTAGGTGAAAAAGATGGCTATATGATATACCATGCTTTATGCTTTGAAAAAGATGTATGTGCGGTAAATTATTCTGGAAAAAACCTTTTCCATGCCAATAACAGAAACTTTGACTTTTTTAGCGCACATAGCTGCCACTTCCATTCCAATAAAAGAAGATCCAATAATTGTGAGATTCTTGTTTTCTTCTTTTCCGATAGCTGTTAATTATAATAAATAAGTTCAAGTTTCGTTACAAACGCAGAACAAGTAATGAAAAAAGATTAACTAACCTTGCTCAATTTTCGCATAATCTTCGAATGTACGAAGATAAAACACGTTGTTGAGTCCAATTCCAGGAATTGGAATAGATCGTGGCTATATAAACGAGATGGGAAATGATAAACAAGCAGAAATTATATTATATAGAGGTGTAATTAATTTTTAAACATTAAACGTTTGCTTAAGTGTCACAGCTGTTAAATAAACATATTTTCATTTTAAGTAATCATCTATTTATTGCCAGTGGCATTTAAGCAAACTTAGTATTCATAAATGAATAATTGTTTAAGAAGAAAATTTACCGAAGCCCCGGTAGCAATAATTAAAGAGTCATACTTCAAATTTTCACCATTATCGAGGGTGACCACTTTGGAAGTGGTATCTACTTTAGTTACAGACTGTTACGATAATACAGATCCAACATTAATACCGAATAACTTTTAAAATTGGCCTGTTATAACATAATACAGACCGTTCCTAATTTAAACGTAATGAAAAGGCTATCATAAAAATCCTTATTTCGGATTTGTATTTTTTCAAGTTTCATGCCAAAAGCTTTACTAAGTTTTGGCCTATGGTACAGGAAAAGCAATATTAATAATCATAAGATGAAATTTTAAGAACATGAATAATACTTACCTATCAATGGGTAGATAAGGTTCACGGCTTATAATAATAATCTTTCCGTTATATCCATCCTAAATTTAAT